AATAAAACATTATTTGTAGAAATTGTAGCCACAAGTTTCTAAAATTTGGCATAATAAAATAAAGTTACAAATAAAGTTACATTCAACAACTCTCAAGAACAAACACAAAAAACTGTGTATGTAGCAACATCAGAATGAAGCTGCTGAAAATCAAAGATGATAGGATAATCCTCTAAATCTGAAGTAGCAACATCTTATATAAAAGGGATATCAATACAAACGATGGATGACTTCTCATCAGATACTTTAGAGGACAGAAGACTTAATGAGGTAACATCTTTAAAATATTGAAAATGGAATAAAAGACAAAAACACAACCCTACCAAGCTAGGCTTTCATAGAAAAATAGTCTTTTAAAATTATTTCTAATTAAGGCAAGGGACTAGCTGGTGGTTAAGGAGGTGGGTCCTATATGCCCAACTACACAGTTCAAGAACTGGACCTGGTGGTTTAAAAAAAAGTTGGGCACATGTACACCAATGTCCAAAATCTTAAGAGAATAGAGGAGATGAGATTGCAGTGTGGCAATCTCCCCTAAAGGGTGCATTTTCATTCTCTCTGTGTGTGTGTCTCTCTCTGGAGAGTGTACATACCCAATAGCCAAAAATTAACAAATGAAATGAAGCCAAAACAAATATGTAGTCACACCCCATATAACAATGTCTCAGTGATGAACTACACATGTGACAGTGGTTCTATAAAGGTTATATAGGTTGTAATGTATAGTCGAGGCGTGAAGTCAGCTATGCCATGTAGGTTTGTCTAAGTGCACTCTACAATGTTCGCCCAATGGTGAAATGGCCTAATCCTAGAACATGTCAATGTCAATAAGTGATATGTGAGCATTTTCAATAAACAAAAGGTGAAAGAATGTGAGGTCAGAAGACCTGCTCATAAGAGGTAACCAGCAGTTAGCGTAATGGCTATGTCACTGGACTCCCACGTAGTCTACCGTGGTTCGCGTCCCAGACCCGGTAGCTTAAAAATCACACCAGGCACGTGTGCGTGCGTGCCCAAGATCCTGAGAGGAGAATGAAGGAGAAGGGACTGGAAGATAAAGATTCAGCATGACCAAATTCTGTGGGGAGAGCACTTCTCACATGGAAAATAAATTTAAACAGGAAAGGAAAACAAAGTCATAGGATATAAGAATAGCATACCAAATGCACTTTCATTTTTATATAGTAGGAACAAAATACTGGAAAATAATATTTTGTATTTTCTACTTAGAGTAAAAGTGGCATAAACAACTCTAGACAAATAATGACATAAAAGTAAGACACGTAGATACTTGGAAATAAATTTAATTCAGATGTGAGAGATTTCAACATGTAAAACTACATAACACTAACATAAAATTGAGATTTCCTAAAAAATTATCAATGTAATCCTAGTCAAATCTCAATACCCTTTATAAGTTGATTTAAAATTTGTGTGGAAATGTGAAAATCTTACTGTTTAGGTTGATATGAAAAATATATTTGGAAAAGTAAACAATTGAGAACCACTCAAATAATTCTGAGAACAAGAAAAAGTTGGAAAACTCATACCATTAGGTTAAATGACTTATTACAAAGCTATGTTTAATGAGAAAGATATTTATCTTTTTTTTTTTTTTTGGAGAGGTTTTTGCTATAGGGTGCATGCACTTGCCAAAAAGACAGAGAGAGACAGAGAGACAGAAAGCGAGAAATCATTCCCCCAAAGAGGATGGCCACACCACAATCCCTTTTTTTCCATTCTCCTCTCGGGATCTTGGGCATGCACGCACACGCGCCTGATGTGAGTTTAAGCAACTGGGTCCGGGACTTGAACCGCAGTTGACTACAAGGGAGTTCAGTGACATAGCCATTACGCTAACTGCTGGTCCCAGAAAGATATTTATCTTAATAGAACATAACGGGTGATCCAGAAATATGCCTACTCATTTACAACAAATTAATTTTCAAAGAACACAGAATATTCGATAGATAAAGGTAAGCCTTTTCAACTAATGGCCCAGAAATAACCCAATGAGTATATGGCAAAAAGTGAATCTCAATCCTTCTCTCATATCTTACACAAAAATTCATTTTGTACCAATCATAGACCTGAATGTAAAATAAAACAAGAAATTCTGTAAAAGGAAATATAGAAGAATTCTTTATGACTTGGCTGTAGGAAAACATTTCCCAGGACACAGAATGTAAAAGACAAAGACTAAAACTGCATTCCAAAACTCAAAAGCTACTACAAAGAGGGAGAAGACAGGTATATACACACAAATATATAATATATGTATCTGACAGATATTATAGGATACACATATATCTGACAATATATTTGATCATAGATAGATATTTACTTGTATTTCATATGTACACATATATATATATGTATATATATATATAGAGAGAGAGAGCTCTTATAAGTCAATAACAAAAAATCAGTATGCTATAAAAATATTTGAGCATTTAACATACACAAAAATACACAAATGACCAGTAAGTGCATAAAATAATATTAATTCCATGATATTTCTGGTAAAAATGTCTAATTAGCATCTAATCATGAGGAAATATGAGATGCCCCCAATCTGAGCAACTGCCCACAAAATTACTCTTCAAAAATATCAGTCAAGGAACCCAAAAGAGACTGAAGAATGTTCTGAATTAAAAGGAACTGAAGAAAAGTTATTTAGAAATTTATTTAAATGGAAATATAAACTTTTCTTCCTTCCTGACCCCTCTTGAATTGGAAATATTTGGGAGTATTCTTATTTTGCGGCAGAAGGGTTATTTGCATAAGTTCAATAATGCTTGTTGCATTGACTCAGAAATTGAAAATACTCATTATTGGATAGAGCTTTGACTGGAATGTCATATCTGAAGACCAATCATAAAACTATGGAACCAAGGTGGACTCAAGTAAGCCAACAGGAGCTCTTACAAAGATGGTCTGGCACCATAAATAGTTCTGCCTGGCAGAGAGGATTAGAGAAGATATATGAAAGAATTTATAACATAAAATAACCTGGACTTTTCCAGCCCAGCATTGTAATCAGTAGAGATTGCAAAAGAGCAACCACACCAGAGGATTATCTTGAGAAAGACTTTAAAGGAAGAAAATGAGACTGATCTTTGCTAACAGATGGTATATCACAGACTACTTGGTAGGCAGGGCTGAATTGAGAAGGTTTATGTGTGACTAGTGTGCTGGGCATTTGCTTTTCAACAATTTGAGTAGTTGACATGTAAATATGTTCTCAAAAATATTTAAAACCATCCTGTTTCTGCTGTTATAGAGTCACAAACAAAATTATACAAAATTAGGGACCAGCAGTTAGTGCTATGGCTATGTCGCTGGACTCCCATGTAGCCGACCATGGTTAGAGTCCCAGACCCAGCGGCTTAAACTCACGTTGGGCGTGTGTGCATGTGTGCCCAAGATCCTGAGAGGAGAATGGAAGAGAAGGGATTGCAGCGTGGCCATCCCCCCTGGGGGTGATTTCTTGCTTTCTGTCTCTTTGTCTCTCTCTGTCTTTCTGGTGAGTGTATGCACCCTAGGGAAAAAAAAACAACCTCTCCCCCCCAAAAAAGGAAAAAAATTACACAAAATTATAAGAAATATTTTGAACATTATCTTTAAAATTCAGTATTTTGAAATTTTGAAAGTTGTTTATTAACTGTCAAGAACTAAGGAGTATGAGAAAAAAAATTGATGTGTAAAGTAAATGTGGAAAAATGTAAAAGTTAATTAATTAATTAAAAATAAAGAATACTCAGCATCTACTCTCTTAGCACATATTAATGATACAATACATCATTACTAACTATAACCGCCATGTTGTGTGTTAGGTATCCAGAATACATTCATTTTCTAGCTTTCAATATCTATTCAGTTCCCCCAGTCCCTTACCCTGGCAATAATCATTCCACTCTCTGTTTCTATAAATGACTTATTTAGATGCAAAATATGAGTGAAATTGTGTAGTATTTCTTTTCTGTGCCTGGCTTATTTCATAGAGCATGTATAATGTCCTTCAGGTTCATCCATGTTCTTACAAATGGCAGGATTTCTGATGTTAAGGCTGAATAATAGTCTGTTTACACACACACACACACACACACATATGCATACACACACACACAGGTTTTCTTTATCCATTTGTCCATTTGTCCAAATAAATAATTTGCAATCTTAAAAAGGAACTGAAGAGACATGACAAATAAATGTAATTTGTGATACTAATTGGACTGAGAAAAAATACTGTAAAGGATATTGTTGTTCAATTAGCAGAATTTCAATATGAATTATGCATTAGATAATAGTATGTCCAAAGTTATATTTTCTAATTTTGTTAAGTGTACTATGGTTATGATAGAACAGATGCATGTATAAAAGACTACATCTTCTGTTATTATGATTATTTGAAGTTTAAGAGCAGGCAAAACTAATACATGGTGATAGAAATCAGAACAGTAATTGCCAATGGTGAATGAGGATTGATTGAAAGGAGCCCTTAGAGAAACCTGTGGATGATAGAAATGTCTTATATTTTTCCTCAACAATTAAAACATTTTTTAGTGCTTAGTGTAAAAATCAGCACAAAGAAATGAATTTTCCACACCCTTCAAAAACTGAGTACTTTTAAGGATAAATAAAATATCTTTAATACTCCTAAGCATTAATGACTGATTATGCACAAAGTGTAGCAATCACAATGACATCTAACTTTTCTGTGAAATTAAATACACGGCATGATGAGACAATGTCTACAGTGCATGAAAGACAAACACATTTTTCATTAAAAATATATTTATAATCCAAGGACACTGGAATATGCTACTTATGAGTTTATCTGGGGAAAAAAAAAAATACCTGAGGGTCATCTCCAGCCACCTGAAACCTACATGAGAATGAATAATGCCACTTGGCGATACAGAAATTTGGAGATGAAGAAATGTTAGAGGGAAGGGGAAGTATTACAGGCCCCTCATCATGAGAACCCTGTACAACTGGGTGTGGTTAACTTACCTGGCTACAGAACTAGACTCAAGATTTTGGGGTGATGAGTGACACTTCGCTCAGGGATATATGGAACTGTTAACAGTTACCTTTCTCCTTATGGAATTGCAAGCTATCTTTAATTTTATTTTTACTTCCTTCGATTTGTTAGTCTATACTTTTCAGTTTTTTTAATGATGTGTATATATTGCTTTTGTAAAGATTAAAAACTAAAAAAGTAATATCTACTAATCATTATCTTTCATTATGGGACAAACCCTTTAATTGAGCACAAAATTTCTTTTAAAAATCAAAGAATGTCCCCTATAGCAAGGTTTCATATCAGGCTCTGAAATTCAGTTGCATGTGATCACAATTATGTCAAGATGACCCACTTATGCCTAGAAAAAATGTGTCACAATGTTGATTTGAATGCCTGAGGCTGGTAGAACTATTGGAATTGTTTTCCTCTTTGACTTTCATATATTTTCTTTAGTATGCACATCTCTCTCTTTTAATGTAAAAACAATATGAAAAAAGAAACATGCATTTGTGGTAACTACCTTATAATAAAAGGGAAATAGTCCACATATGTGATGGAAATATAATTGAATATGAACATTTGCTCTTTGTTAGACATACTGAAAATTCTGATGGAAACTTCTCTAAGATTAAGATCCTTGTTTTCCTGGGAGAGGTCTGGGTCCTGCTGGTCTCTTGGCATAATTGTTAGTACCATTTCACTGTCGTAAGTATCCCAGGTTGAATGATAAGTTTTATGGCCGCCCTGATTAAGATCCTCCTGGAAATATTTAATGCATGCCTGAAGTATCACACTTTATGTAGCTACTCCACATTCTCGGAGACTTCATAGAAATTCACATGCCATCACCATTTAGGATTAAACCTAGCAAAGATTATTTCTTGTTTTCTAAAAAACTTGGATTTTGAATTGGAGATTTCTTGGCACCTGTCATCACTTAACCTGAACATCTGGGTTGTATTATCATTCCTCTTGTAAAGACATCAGGCAATGTATAAATAATTTATTAAAACTTGCTAATATTGTGCTTGCCTACATCAAAAATAATGAAATCTTGCCCTAATCTTAATCAATAAAACTAACTTTTTCTGGTAGCATTTAACAATAAAATAACTAGACTTGGAAGTTGTTTCATTATTTTTATGTTACCACTTCCTTCCATAATTTGTTTTCCTGCAGATGGAACCCCCAAGATTATTTCTGCCTTTAGTGAAAAAGTGGTGAGTCCAGCAGAACCGGTATCTCTCATGTGCAACGTGAAGGGAACGCCACTGCCCACAATCACGTGGACCCTGGACGACGATCCCATCCTCAAGGGCGGCAGTCATCGCATCAGCCAGATGATCACGTCGGAGGGGAACGTGGTCAGCTACCTGAACATCTCCAGTTCTCAGGTCCGGGACGGGGGAGTCTACCGCTGCACTGCCAACAACTCGGCTGGAGTCGTCCTGTACCAGGCTCGAATAAACGTAAGAGGTGCTTGTCAAATCAGCTCCTCAAAAAAACACACATAACTCATTGTAGTGGAGAAGAAGGTTTCTGCATGCACCGAGCTGAGTCTTGGAATGCTAAAATGGATTAACTGTTGCTTCCCATTTCCTACCCTTTCCTTCCTACTCAGGAATGGCCTGACTGGGCTAATGTTGGAAGTGGCATTTTGGTCTCTTTAGTCAGCTTGTTCTCTTTTTTTACTCTTAGATTTGTCCACTTGAACTGTCCTTTCCTGGTTTATGCTCTGCATGCTTTTTCCTTTCTCCTCTTCTTCTGTTTATCTACATTCATGGTAAATCTTCATGCACATGGTACTTAACTTACATTCATGGTGCAACATGGCATAACTTCCATCTTCATAATAGATTTTACAGAGAGACTTAAACTGATCAGTTGCTACCAGTGTTCTCACAACTACACTATTCAGTGTAGACTAGTTACTTTCTATTGATTAAATTGCCTTTTATCCATAACATGTTAACAGAAGTAGCTGATAAGGTATTTAACATTCATTCAACTCAATTGAAAGCAATGAAACTAAAAAAGAAAAGAAAACCCTTTAGAGTGGAAAATGCCAAATATAAATGTCAATGCCAAATGCATTGTTTAATTGCAAAACATGCTTACATAAAACTAACCTACCCTTTTAACT